AGCGTCTCTGATCAAAGGAAATATTTAATATTTATTATTATTGTTTATTTTTACCTGCCAGGCTGTCCAGGTCCTCCAGGATCCTCCCAAACCTGATCAGAGTCACAGAGGTCAGAGGTCAGAGGGGGAACAGCAGGAAGTGGGGGCTGGGCGCTGCGTTACCTGACGGTGTTGTGGTTGGTCAGGTATTTCTCCCGGAGCTCCGGCTCCGAGCCCAGAGGGAGGTGAACCTCCAGGAAGCTGTCCTTCATCCGCTTGGCGGGAAGCTCGCTCTGAGACCTGGCCAACATGGACGCCAGGGACACGCGCTCCGCCATGGCCTGCTGGTGGTCGCTATGACGACGGAGAAACAGAAGACAGGGCGCAACTTTTCATTCTTTAAGAAAAATGAAAAGACGAACTGAGACAGGCAGAGAAAATAATTACTAATAATTATACAGAAAGTTTCATGTGAATTTTCTCTTAATTGCATCAGCTGTAAAAACTCCAACGTATTTTTACATCTAATCTAAATAATTTGAATCCACATTTTAAATATTTAATTTCTTAAACAACAGAAACAAAAAAAACATATTAATTATATATTTTTGGCAATACTATAAAAACCTAAGACAAAAGAAACAACAAAAAAGAATATAATATATTTTCCATAAAAGCATCAAATAGCAACATGTAGCTTTTATTGACTCTCGTAAAATCAGATAAATGTTGCTGCTTGCAGCACATTTTTACTCTTTAATGTGTTTTTAGGAAAAATAAAACAGAATTATCTTAAAGAAAAGCAGATTTCAGTATCAAGCAGTTAAAACTGGATCTCTGAAATAACTCAAATTATTTACCTCCAGTTTGTTGAAGCTCCAACTATTTCCCTCAGCCTGTTTCGCACTGAAACAAGAGAAAACAATCAGATTTATGTTTCCCAGAGCGACGATGAGGAGGAGTGAAGGACTGAGGAAGATTTCACTGTTTCTCCACTAAACCAGCCAAACAAGAAGAAACTACAAACTACAGAGAGGAAGGAGAAAAACAGGTTAAAACGCTGCAGAAAGAGGAACTAAAGAGACGCCGTGGTTAAAAAGCAGCCCTGAAATCAGACGAGTTTCAGAAAAATGGAATAAAAACAAGCAGGAGGAATTAAGAGTAAAATTAAAGCGACTTGAATTAAACTTATGCGGTTCAGGTAGTTAGGATCAGTTTAAATTTACCATTTGAAACGTGTAAAAGTCGATTTCCTGCAGAAAAGAAAACAAAATAAAAATTCATTAAACATCTAAAGAGCAGAAACTAAAAACAACTAAAATTAATTTTTACTTCATCTCAGTAGGGATGGAGGGAAATGTTAGAGAATTTATTTGATCTGTAGAATAAAGCTAGAAATATATACAATAATTCAGTATTTACAAATATTTACTTATTTAACTGATTTATTAAATATGTAATTGAACAAATAAATAAGTTAAAAGCATGTTATTCATTATATTATTATGATTGATTATATTGTTATTACCATTAATAATATTTAATACACTTTTGTGTTGCTGTAAATCATTAATTGATATTCAGGCTTTAACGTTAGACTCAGTGGGCGGGGCTTATTCTGGTAAAGATGAGCTGATTGGTCTGCTGTTAAGTCAGTGTGAAGCAAAACCAATCAGATGCTATAATCAATTTAATGAGAGTAAATTATGGAGAAAAGCAAATATGGAATCATTTTTAATAGAGAAATGTAAAAAGTTCTCACAAAATATAATTTAACGTAACTATTTCAACATTTATTTTGTTATTCACTTAATTATATCATGCATTTAAAAATGTATATAGTTTTTGTCTATTTACTTCATGTAAATACAAGTGCAGTTTTATTAAAATAGTCATAATTGTTTTGAAATTGTTTTATTTATGTGAAAATTTGATAGTTTGCAATCAATGATGGTCAACAAATGTAAATTGATGCTTAAAATGTACAATTTTATCAACCTAAAATCAGTTCTGAAGTATAAAACAGAGCGGCGATAACTTTTACTGTTTGTAGTTTACAAAGCAACAATTTCACCAATTCTTTGGAAAATCTGATCTATAAGAAGGATCCGTGTTTGCAGTCTCACCCTCGGCCATGTCGGGAGCCTGGCCTTGTCTGGATGCTGCAGCCGAGCAGAGCGACCTGCAGGTCAGGGAGGCAGCACGGCTCAGAGACAGGAACCTGGAGAAACAGGAAAAATACAAACATTAACTTAACTCACAGATTCACCCTCCTCAAAACTACATTTTGTATTTGCTGGAGTTAAATTTGTTTCATTGAAGTGTAAAAAAAATGTCCTCTGCAGACACCAGCAGGGAGGGAGTAGAAAAATGTGAGTAGTTATTTTATGGACCGAAAGTTTCTGAAAGCAGAATAACTTGTGGTTTGTTTGAACTGCTGGGCTCGGTTCTGGTGTCGGTATGAAGAGACAGAGACACACCCTCTTTATGAACACCTCCGCCCAGACTTTACTTTCTTCTTCACAGAAATGTGTCATCATTAAACCCAGAAATTAGATAAATAATCGGAGTTACATCCAGTTTATTACGCTCCAATCAGGCCAGAGAGTCACTCCGCCCTGTGAATTAGTTAGAAATCCGCAGCGGAAGCGTTAAAACCAGGTTAAAATCGGCACCAACCTCTGTGAGAGCATGATGGAGTCTGAGCTCACAGCGGAACCGCTTTCTGGGTCCGGACTAAGCGACGAACAGAACACAAACAGGAGAGAAATGACAGACTTTCTCTGGAGGACGCTGCGATTCTGAACAGTGAACAAAAAAACATCTGCTTCCAGGTTCGTACGTCATCACGTTCACCTTAAACTGACGCAATGACGCGCCGCTGCGCAGCGATGGGTTTGTGGTTTATGTGCCCTCAGTAAAGTCTGCCAGGCACCTCTAGCGAGCTAACTCACGTTTTGCTTCGTCTATTTACCTGCATTATACGTTCAGTATTCTCTATTTTTATGCTTTAACAGATATTCTCTTTAGTGATTCCTACTACCAGCCTCATTTTAAATATCAAAAATAACTTTAGAAACTCTTGAAAAATATGATAATATATGATAATATGAAATATGTTTCTTCACTTAATTTCATTCCACTAATCAAGCAGATATTTGTAATATTTTAAATAACTGTTACTGTGGCTACAGTAGCTAAAACACTGATGAACATTGTCTTCATCTCATGCATGAAGCTGCTGCTGAGCTGCAGAGCTCCTTCACACTGCTGCATCCTAAATGCACATTGTCTGTCACATTATCAGATTCTTCCCCCTCAGCACCTGTTAGACTGTAGAACCATCACTGCTCCCAACAAAATCAGTGTGTTTACATCCCTGTTGGTATCTGCAGAGATTTTATCATTTCAACTAATATTCCTGCAGCTCTTTGAACAATTCCACATTAATTTGAATCTAAAGAGAAAATGCTATTTTAACTCGCAATGACTGCACAGTCTGTTGTTTTCTATAACCCACTGTGGGACAATAATGGATATTTCTATTTCTAAAGGAACATAGTCTTAAATAACATAGGAAACTCATTGTGAACTAAACAGGTTTCTGAACTTTAAATGCATCGTTGATTTCAGTATCAATCATATTCAATAAACTAGAATATGTGTCCCAGTGAGTCTCATTTATTGGATTAAGGACCTTTTGAAAATAATAACCTTTAAGCAGGTGTGAAAAGTAAGGGTAACACTTTATTTGAAGGGGGGTGAATAAGACTGTCATGACACTTTCATGAACATGACATAACACCTGTCATGAACATGAATAAGCCTTCATGAATATTTATGACTGTTGTCATAAAGAGTCATTCGGTAAATTATGACACTTTTAATACAAAGTTGACATTATTCAAAATGTCTTTGTTATGACAACTTGACATTAACCAAGAAATCATTACTGTTTAAACTTTACCTTTAATAACATAAAGTTACCTCATTTTTAAAGTGCAATCAGTAATACTTTTATAACAAATTTATATCAGTAATGATTTCTTGGTTAATGTCAAGTTGTCATAACAAAGACATTTTAATAATGTCAACTTTGTATTAAAAGTGTCATAATTTACCAAATGACGCTTTATGACAACAGTCATAAATATTCATGAAGACTTATTGATGTTCATGACGGGTGTTATGACATGATTATGAAAGTGTCTTGTCAGTCTTATTCACCCCCTTTCAAATAAAGTGCTACCAAAGTAAGTATTAAAAGTGTGAAACAAACTTTTCATATTTTTAGTATGTTAGTTATTTTTTTATGAAATTCTGACTCTGTACTGGAATCTCCTCCTATTTGGGAGAAAATATCCATAAAAGACCTTTATAAGGGATCCAATTCAGATCTATCTTAATCAGCTCGTTCTAATTTGGTCCACCAGTTGTTTTTGTCACCTTAAAGAGTTTCAACGCTGTGATTCAAATAGATTTAGAGGAACAACCAGTGACAGATACAATCAGAAGAGTTACAGGAAACACCAATGTCTGGTTACACATTAACTTCTAACCGTCTATTGTATTCATGAATTATCAAAACCCTTGCTATGTGACCTGGGTGTATCGTTACAGTTCAACCCTCATGGTTACCCTTATGGGAGGGATGGAAAATTCCTTTTCTTCCCTCTGTGGCCAGTAACAACTTGTGTCACTCCAGAGGGCCGTTTCATTACAATTTAATAACATTTGAAGACACTAAAAACATATTTTTCAAGCTATGTATTCATTTTTGTAGTAAATAAATTTGAATAATCCAATGTAAATACGCTTTAAGCAGATTTTTAATGTTTTAATTGAAGAATAAAATATGTTTAAAGATTGTATGCTAAAGAATCAAAACAAAAATCCAATCTTCAGCCCTTCTTTATGCTGATTGGACGAACAGAACCCTGAATCCAGAGAGGTGGTCGCTGATTCGTCAGAGATCTTAGAACCTAGTCAGCTGACCAATAGTAGTCGAGCGCGAGCCGGGTATAAAGCACCCGGCGTAAACAAAGGCAGAGCAGTTGACCGACAGCGACCCAGTGAGGGGCCACCGAGAGCTGGATGAGCCTACGTCGACGAACAGGTCCTGACCAGAGGCTGACTGTGGGGGAAAAGCCACTGCGAAGCGAATGAAGAAGCACCTGATCTTCCACTTCACATACAGAGGTCTTCTAACGAAAGGAAAAAAGAGTAAAAGAAGAAAATGGAGTATAAATTACGAAAAGCTGAGCCCAAAGACGTGTCCGATATATTACGACTGGTGAAGGTAGGATATAAACAGACGTTTCCTCTTAAATTTGAATGTTTTTGAAGGTGAAAAATAAAACTGACGTCGATTGGTGGAGGATGACATAGAATGAGGTCAGATCCCCGATACGCAACAGTTCCGACTTCCGGTTCTCCAAATATGGTCAGTCTGTCTGTCGCCGAGCTTATGTTGTTACCAGGCTGACCCGACTCCGAGCTGTGTGACTGCTGACCTGACAAAAAGGACAAATCTGACTTCATATCACAACCATGTCTGCAAAATATGAGAACTTTACAATCTAATCTCACGACGTTTATATAAACAGTGGAACATAACGAGCTTTGAGGAGTTTTAGAGCTGAAGACAGCCGGACATTAATAAACTTACTAAATATGATTATAAAGGATGTGAGTTGTGGAACTGCAGTTGTGTGGTGAGAAATCCAGAAAGTAAGTTCATCAGATTAGTAACACATCAGAAACCACAAATGATAAACAGAAATAAAAATACATTTGATAAATGTTGAAAAAATAAAATATGAAACTTGTTTTAATGTAGTTAAACAATATCAAAGAAGTCTAAGTGAGACTGAATGAGATTTTAGTTTGTTTTTAAAAACATTGCAAAAATAAAAAATTGAATGTAAGGGAAGAATTTGTGATAAAACCTAAAATAATGAACTCTGGTTCAGTTTGAATGCATATGTGAACTCTAAGCAAACCGGAAACGGCTCAAAAACAGGCGGTGGACTACAGCGCAGGGCATTCTGGGTAAATACAACCAAAACAAACATGCTAGGCTAGTGCTAGCAGGAGAAATGACTCGTGGTTTTTTACCAAAGAAAACAGAGAAATTCTACAAATGCTAAAATCTGATGCCACTCCATTTTCTTTTTATATTTTGTGAAGAAGGTGTCTTCTTCAGAGGTTTCCATGTCGTTTCCTTCAGTGGTTCTGGGTGCAGCGCCCCCACAGGCGAGCAGGAGTACATGTTTTTCAAAGGGTTCGGTTGGTTTGACTCATTTTCAGCAGCTGAAAATGCAACAAATGTTGCAGCTTTGATAAGAATCATTGAGTCAATGTGACAAATCTAATCTCTGGTGTTTAAACCTGATTGTGAGACGCTGCTAGCAGTCACTCTGTTACAGTTAAGCTAGCTTTCACTGCTAATGTCACCCAACTAAATCTTTCCTGTCATTTCAGGAACTTGCAAAATATGAAGAGATGGAGAGCCAGGTCACGCTGACGGAAAAGGGTGAGCGTCTGGTTCTCCTTTTAGTCTGGATGTTTCTGCAAGTCATCGCCGCTCTTCTTCATGGTTTGGTTAAAACGTTTCTTCCAGATCTCCTCGAGGATGGGTTCGGTGAAACGCCGTTTTACCACTGCATCATCGCTGAAACTCCAGGAGAGAACAGCAGCGACGGTACGAACCAGTGGAGAGGAACCAGTCAGTTTACTGGTTTCATGTTCCTGATGAGCTGCTCCAGTTTCCCACCAGCTGGGTTCATCCGTCAGCGGCTCTGCTTCCTGTTTACGTCCAGCAGTTATGGCTTCCAGGGAGCAGAGCCAACTCAGGGCTGCAGGTGTTCAGCCTTGGACGTGAAACAATCTGCAGAAAAAACTCAGCAGTAGCAGCAAAGATAAGCCTGAAATGAGAGATGGGATGTTTCCACATAAAACACAGGAGAAGGGGGTCAAAGGTCAACCACTTCAGAACAAGAGAGGAAAACATTTCCACCCGCACAGCGAGCATGCGGTCGCTCATCAGGGGACGGGTTGGGTGGAAAACTCATTTAAAATGCATAAATACAGAAATAAAACCGTGTTTCTCCATCAGCAGATCTAATTAAACCAAACCGTTGCCATGGGAGCCAAAAAACATCGAGTGGAAAAAGATTGATGGCCACAAACAGACATATTTTTGTATTAATTTTAGAAAAAGCTTTTTTTCCCTCCAACTACAAACAAAATGCAATAATTTAATAAAACAAAACCAGCAAAGATGTGGTAATGCTGACTGTGTCCGACCGTTTAGATTTTTTTCTTGCATGTTTATTTTCTGCGATATGGGATGTGGATCGCTGCTTCTCTGGAAAACTTCCTGCTTTTTTCAGCAGTTTCCCGATTGGTTGCGCCAAAATCTGCTGCTGAGTTTAAAAAATGACTGGATGTTTGTTTACAATAAGTCAAGAAACACAAGGCTGATAAAGTGAAGATTTCTCTCAGATTATTTTCTTATTGTAGATACAAAAACTTGAGCTGGAAAACAAAGTTTGCGCAGTCTTTTTTTTATTGTGGTCAGGGGCCACAAATGGCCCCCAGGACACATTTTGGACACCCAGACAAAAACAAAACCCCCTTCTCTCTGCAGAGCCGAGCGTGGTGGGCTTTGCCATGTACTACTTCACCTATGACCCCTGGGTGGGCAAGCAGCTGTACCTGGAGGAGTTTTATGTGATGGACAAGTGCAGAGGTAAGAAAACCACCGAGGTGGATCAGTTTCTGTTCCTCTGCTTCCCCAAATAAAAAAAGTTTTAAACTTCGTCTCTTCCGTTCAGGGCTCGGCATCGGTTCAGGAATCCTGCGGCACCTCAGTGACGTAAGGAAACACGAAACTGGTTCAGTTCCTTTAATCGGCCTCCAGATGGTTCCCTAAATGTTCCTGAGAATAAATACTTTACATGTGGGAGCCAGTGGAGGAAATTAAAATGTTTTAAACCTCATGTCGTCCAGCTGGCCATGAAGACGCGCTGCACCGGCATGATGTTCGTGGTGGCGGAGAACAACGAGCCGTCGGTCCAGTTCTACAAGCGGCGCGGCGCCGAGGATCTGTCCCAGGAGGAGGGCTGGAGGCTCTTCAGGTTCGACAAGGACAGCCTGGTCAAGATGGCGACTCCGGCCGAGGAGTGACCGCTGGGCCGCAACCGAAGAGGAGGAAACCCAAGACCGCAAACCGTCCCATCGGCTCGGCTTTTCCCCGCTCAAACCGGAGCTCGTTTTTACAGCTTCAGCTTCTAAATAGAGAAAAATGTGTCAACGTTGTGATTCTGAGTGTATTTTACTTCATTTAGTTTACAAATATGTTATTCTGTCTAATCTTAACCAGCTGTAACTGCTTTTAGTTCAGAATCAATAAAGGAGCAGTAATGATGTAATAAAGTCTCTTTATTCACCCTGGAAAAACTCAGTAAGGTTAAAAAAGAAGGAATAAGATCTGGACATGCAGGATTAAACGGTACTCTTAAAATAATAAACATAATACAGTTTGTAATTATTGTGACACATTGGAAACAGTACAACTTATTTTTAGAGTGTAATAAGTATTACATTATAATCACGACAGACTGACGGTGGTTGATGAGATTTAAGGCGATAATGAATCATCATTTTGCCTCCGGCCTTCTGAACTGACTGGATGCTGCAGGAAGTCCAGCAAACATCGAGGTTCAGCTGCAGAAAGTTTCATAATCCAAAAGATTATTTTTGACAGGAAACAGCCGAACCGTCCTGGTTCTGATCTGAACAGAACCGGTGGTGCCTTAATGCATCCATTATGCCCGTGATTACAGGTTGAAGATTAATATTGTTCAATTAGGATTATTTTTGAGTAAGAAATTAAAAATGGATAAAATATGGTTCATAAATACGTAAAATTATTTGGCTTCCATCTTTAAATTGAGCTATTTTTTCTCTCCATCTGCATGTCATTTTAATATTTCTGACTGAGACATTTTATTTTATTAAAGTCTGAAAGTGAAAAAAAAAATCCTGATTCAGTTCAATGAAACGTTTCAGGTTTAATTTCTGACATCCTGGACAGAAACGTTGAAAATGTTCGATAAAAACAGATAAACTTGAATATTTTAAAATAATTTCCGTTCAACCAAGAAGTTTGTCCTATTCTTCTGTCACATTTAAATAAAAATATTATTTACACCCTTCTGATTAATCAGTCCCTAATTTCTCTGTTTCATCCCAGACCTCTAGGTGGCGCTGGAGATTCATTCACCAGATATCAACATGTCAGTTAAATTAAATCTAAATTACACAAAATGTGCGTTTTTTTTATTTTTTGGTAAAAATATTATGCTTAAATATTTGAATCCAACCAATTAAATTAAATTAAAATATTTTCTGTAACAGCAGGAAAAGGTTTACAGAGTGAAAAAAAACTGAAAAGATCGGAAAACTCACAAAATGTTTTATTATCATTAAATAACATATTTAGTGACATTTAGTGAGAACATGTAGCCATGCATCTATTTAATAACATTTACGATGGATAAACTCACAGAAAGCATCATAATAAGTATTTTAATCATCTAATGTTGGGTTGCATCTATAACTCATTTTCTGGATTAGTGATTTAATTTCATTAAAATAATTAAAGACATAAAAGTTCCTGATTAGTTGGCTAATTCCTTGAATTTTGGAGACAGTTTTAACCATATTTAACTCTTATTTTCTACATTTTACAGGTTTTGATTCATAATGTGAAGATTATTTAACTGTAAAACAACAGGAGGTGTGAGACGGCAGTGAGGTGTGCTGCAGGAGGGACAGAAAAACAGAGAAGCTGTTTGGTTTGACAGAACCAGCGAGGAAACACAGAACTGCAGATGATTCCCTGATACCAGGAAGAGGAGACGATCCAGAGAACTCGGTGTTCATGTTAGCGCCGGTCTGAAGCCGCGGCGCCACCGGGTGTTCAGATCACAGGAGAGAGAAAACGATGAAGAGCGGAGGAGGAAGAACCGTTTCCAAGAAGCAAATTTCAGCCAAAGTAACACAAACTGCTTCCTGGAACGGCCGCCGTCCTTCAGAGCGCCGGTTTGATCGTGTGATCGGGTTTCTGCCACCTGCAGCTGATCAGCTGTTTCTGTCGCTGCTCTCTGCCTCCTCTGACTTCCTGGGTTTCACCGCCTCAAACACAAACAGATCAATATTTATCATCACTAAACTAAAAAATCATCTTTCACATGTAGAAATATTCTGAAATTAAAGGATTAACAGTTCGAACACGTCACAGTGAGGTTAGGCGGAGTCAACAGAAGTTACAATCATGCTACTTTTTCCAGACTGACCTTTTTCTTGCTCAACGGGGGATCTTTCCACAGAGTTTCCATGGCAACGCGGCCCTGCCGAGTCCAGGTGAGCACCTGGTCTCGACTCAACTGGTGAAAATGGAAAATAAATGACAATAAAATTCAGAATCATAATTTAGTTATAATAACAGAATCCAGAAAAAAATCTCCATCAGTTGAGTCCGAACTTTTTCTCACAAGAGCCGAAATGCTCACAGTGAAAAGACTAATGGGGCAGAATTAGAATAAAATAATAATAATAATGATAAACAGTGGGGGGCACTGCTAGCTAAAGTTTAGCTGCACTAATTATAAACTTTAATTTGATAACGTTAAGAGCTATACCAACATGGCATTTAGTGGAAGCTAATGCTAAGCAGCTACATTCCACCATGAGTCACAAGGAAAATGTGAAAAGGTTTTCTAAACAGTTCAAATGTTATTTTTTCATGTATTTGTTTGCTGGTTGGTTGTTCATTAAAGTCAAAGCAAACTAATAATTTGAATTTACTTGAAAATTTACTTGAATAAAGTTTCACATCATCTCTCAGAATATTAACTCAAACCATCTGGGACTTTCTGCTCCTTTCAGATATTCCTGCATCACTTCCAGGTTCTGTTGAGGCTCCGGTCCGACGTGTTTCTCACACCGAGCCAAAAGGAAACTCTGGGATTAAAACACACCGAGCCGCGGTGGAAACTTTATTCACAGCTCCAGCTTCCTCCAGAAAACACAAACCGAGTCCTGGAGGAAACGAGTCCAAACGGCAGGAAGGCGGCGCCGCCTGGAACCTTTTCACCCAAATGGACCCGAAGCCAGGAAATAAATCAGCTATTAAAAGTTCAACAACATGAAGAGAAGCAGAACTGGGCGGCTGCTTCCTGAGCTAAACATCAAAGGAAATATTTTATCTCCATGATCCTCCCATTTAAAAACCTGGAAAAATCCAACTCCTTTAAAAAACACAAACCAGTTCAAATGGTCCAAAACCAGTCAGAACCATCCAGAACCAACTAACATGACCCAAACCTGGTTTAATACCAGAGGGCCCAACTGGTTTAACTGGGTCAGAACCAGAACCCGGTCCAGTTCTTTCAGAAAAACCCAGAGTCAGAGGAGACAAAACAAATGATCTAAAGCCTGAAAGCAAACCAGAACCAGAACCAGAACCAGATCTGGGTGGGCTGCTCACCTTGGCCAGGGCGGCGGCCTGCTGGGGGTAAAACATGGAGGCGCTGAGCGCCATGAGGCCCGCAGGAAACGCCAAGCGCTTCAGCCGGGAGCCTGGAGGAGCAACACAACATGTCAGACCGACCCGGTCCAGTTTGACCCGGTCCGCTCTGATGTCCGGAACACAGACGGTACCTCTGGCCAGGTAGAGTCCCAGGAACCCGGAGAAGCCGATGGCGGCGGCGCTGGGATAGAGGTCCGGAGGCGGGTCGCTGAGGAACCGGTACGTTTCTGAGGGAACCAGAACCAGGATCAGAGTCAGAACCAGAACCAGGAATATGACAGAATCCAACAACAACCGGGCCGGAGTTTTTTGTTTTTAATTTCTACTATAATTAATTTGAGTTTTGTTTTTTCTTTCTTTGTCTTTTTACATTTATTTTGCATTTCTGAATGCAGTTTCAGTCTTAGTTCTTATTTTATTACATATTATTTTTGTTGTATTTATTTTTGTCAGAATTTTGTTATTCATTTATTTTTTTAATTAAGATTTTGTGTATATTTTATTGATGTTTATTAATTACTGGTTTGAATATGCATCAAATTATTTTGTTTCGTTTGATTTAAAGTTTACAAATTTTTATTTCTTTTTGTATTTCAGTGTCTATTTTCTCTGGATTATTATTTAACTTTTAAAATGTTTAATCAACCTGAATCCCAAATATTATTCTGTAAATTAACACTGAGGAAATATTCATCACTTTATTTATTTTAAAAGATGATGATAACAAAACTTATTACATTTTTTATGTAATCACCATTTCACTTCCAAAGTGAAAAAGATAAACTTGTTTCTTTTAAATAAAATGTTGCTTTTTGATAAACAGCTTCTGCACAAATATCTGATTTTCTAATATTTTTAATGTTAATGATCTGTCAGCTGTTTATAAATAAGTCAGAAATAAACAGAAAACTGCTGACAGGAATATTCTGCAGGTCAGTTTGTGGCAGCCATCTTGTTCTGCTCACCACTGATGGTCGATAACGATGCGTTCAGCGTCGGCTCCGCCGTTCTGTACACCTGCTGTGATACAAACACCAAGAAAAAATGGATTTAATTTTAACAACAGCTTTATTTATTTATTTTTTAATTATTATAACATCAGAATTTACCCTAAGAATAATTCACATAAACAGTTAAAAACTAAAAGTCCATCAAATGCAGGTTGTTAAAATAGAGAAACTGATTCATCACTGAAAAAACTGTGATGAAAAAAATTAACCAGCAAAGTGAAAATGATGTCAACTTCTTGATATAAAAAATTTACTTAATGATAAAAGTTTTTAAGAAACAAAAAAAAAAGCAAAACCAGTAAACATTTGTAAAGAGGAAAATAGTTTTAAACATCTCTGCTTCTGTTCTCAGCTAAACAACTAATTATATTATAAAAGTGAGTTACACTAAAGATATTGCCAGTTTTCTGTGTCTATATAGATATTCATAAAATTATCACTGAAACATTTAAATAATCTTACATTTTCTTCTGTCTAAGCGGTTAATGAATTGGTGATTAGTCTGAATTTACCTCAGCTTTCTCTGCTGCCAGTCGGACATTTTGCTGCAAAAACAAAACAATAAAAACCCGTTAAACTTTATATTAAAGGCTAATTATTAAACTAATACAGCAGGAAGTAAAACTGCTTGATGGGAAAATAACAGCTGGGTTAATCTGGGTTTATGACACATCCAGATGAACAAAAACAGAAATAAATCAGAAGCTGAACTGCTTCCTGCAGGAGATTCAAGAGTTTATTGAAGTTCTGTTGTGAAAACTAATTATTCTGGACAATAAATTGTTCCACATGTTATTGCAATAAATGGTAATACTGTTATTTTTGAAACAATTTTCAACTAACCTAGTAATACAAATACAATAATAATATTATATTAATGCAAATATGCCCACTCAAAGATAAAAACAATCCTTTAATTTCTAGATAACATTTGTCACTGGAACTGGAAAACATTTAAATATATAAAACAACCAAAACAGCAATAATTAAAATGTATTATGAATTTTCAGTAACCAAATAATCAAAGACACATTTCTGTTTTATTAAGATTTTATGTGATGCACATAAAATCCGAATGTTTTCTACCTTCCCTTCTGCTTTCATGTCGCTGCTTTGGAACAACCTCCCCACAGCATGCTGCTGCCACCACCGTGCCTCACCCACCTGACAGCTGTCGGTGTAAGGCGTGGCCCATTTCCTCATCGACGCCACGCTCTGCTCCAGCTGGCCCGCCTCCGGCTCCAGCGGCGCCGGTGTCGGCTCGGGTCTGGTGTACAGAGACGGCAACTGGAGCAACCAGCAAAAACAGACTATGTTTCAGATGTATGGTTTCCTTGGTAACTAATGTATGATTTTAACAACTATCTAGTTGTTTAGTGTTTCTATAACAAATCTGAGTTGAAAAAAACTCAAAACAACCCAAACCCAGTTGCTGATGACGTCACCTCGTCGATGCTCAGAGCGGCCTGGGAGTTCTTCTTCTTCCCCTCGCTGGCAGCCAGAACCGAGCCGCTCATCAGAGCCGTTAACCCCGGAGCCGCGGCGAACAGCGACGCCTGGCGGACAAACTGCGACATGACAGCAACACGCAGAGATGAGTCCGAACAGTCCGTAGCGTTTTTATTTAAGAAAAAATACATATAATCATTCAAACATAAAACACAACGACGAGAATAAGAGACAAGTTAAAATGTCAAACACTCGTTTTTTTTTCATATCGGCCTGTTTAACCGAAGTGTTAGCGAAAGCAGATAGCAACATGCTAAAGACCGACGCGGACAAAACCTACGCAGATCTTCACTAAACCCTCAAACAATAAAAAACTGCGAAATACAGATTACTGATACGGATAACAGCTGGAAAACATGTAGAATAATGTTCAGCATAGTTACCAGTCTGAGAGAAGTCATTTTCATTCAGATGACATTCGCATTACTACGGCAAGCCGCAGGAGGAGAACTCTGCGCATGCGCGTTGATGGAAAATTGAAAAGACGTTTTCTCATGTGTTAAATTGGTTTACTGTGAACTGGAAATAAAATGCTTAATTAGTTCTTAGTTGTATTTATTAACATTTTTTCATTTTAACAGAAAATCTACTGAAAATTATCTGGCATCTATTTAAAAATCAAACTGAACCCAAAAATGATTCAGTAAATTAATTAATACTGATGGAGTATTCATCATTTTATTCCTTTGAAAACAGAAAAAGAAATTATTCTGCCATCAGCTGTTGGCCCTTTAAAAACATTTTAACTTTGATTTGATTTACGTTTGTTATTTTCTAAATGTACTAAGTTAAAAATAATTTATTAATAAAAGTAAAAGTAATTCTTCATGTAACTCATTATCAGCTGTAGAAGCTCATGGCTGTAAGCAGGAAGGATCTCCTGTAGTAGTCAGTGTTACAATAATTCTGAAAAGCCTCTTACTTAAGACACTAAACATTTTATATTTATTAACTTGTAATTTATCAACAATTTACACAGCAGGCAAATGTGATCCAAATATGATTTTTTCATGCCATCCTGAAAGAAACATTTCTGATCTTTTCATCCTAAAAACTGGATTCGTGTCCCTCCAATATGTGGAGCTAAATAAAATTCTTGGGATCTTCTTGGACATAACTGCAGCAGGTTTCAGTTTTTACAGCCTCTATTTTACATGTTCCTCTATTTAACAGAAACATAAACAAACCAAAAGCTGAAAGAACAAACCAAGTTAATCTGTTTTTAATCTGCAGTTCACATCTGGAGACATGACGAACAAATAGGTTTTTATTTCACACAAGAATTAAAATTATTCAGACATATTTTTAAAAAATGTAAATAATATTGTATTTTATATATTTCTTAAATTATACATTTTGTTTAATACAAAATGTTACATTTATTTAAAAAAGAAAAAAATGAAAAATACATTTAAAAATATTTTTTACAGAATGTTTAATTTAAAAATAAAATAAGTTGATTTTCTTTTTCTATTTAAATAAATTAAATATTTATTTATAGATAATAAAATATTTATTTAATTTTAATGTTTATTAAAAATTTTAATAAAAATTAAAATCTCGATTTTTAATAAAAAATATATTTACTGCAATTAAATTTATTGTATATATATCTAAGTTGTAATTAATGAATAATTTTTTTCTAGTTGCTACAGCTAGCAACAAAACTTTAAAGAAATTTTTTTTTTTTTTTTTATTTAAAAATAGAAATAAACTGCATTTTTGGATTAAAAGTATTTATAGATATTCCAAAATGATGCTATAAGTTTCTTGATTATGATCAGATTTGTCCATAAAGCATTTAATGAAAAGAAGTTTGTCAGGAAATAAATTATAAACAAGTGACAGGAAAATAAAAACTCAGCAGCTGGAGGTTGACCAGTATGAACATTTATTTCTGGAAAGGTTACAAATCGTTTCCAAAGAGTTTCTACTCAGAGTAAGATATGTTATTCAGATTTTTCTCTCTTTTCCCGGTACAGTCGTTGAAGCAATGAAAGTTTATTTTTTAGCGTCCTCTGATCTGTTTTCCTACGGACAGGCGGGAAAATGGCGGACTAAAGGATGCTGCGTGTTCCTCAGGTGGGGACGGCTGAACTTTACTGGTTACAGGTTTCTTCTTCAAACAGCAACGCTGGAGCGGAGCGGCGATTAACGGCGACCGAGAGGAAATGTAAAGGGATGACGCAATAATAAATGCTCCAGAATGACCGTCTGAAATGAATGTTTGCCTTCAAGTTCCTGATATATTTATAATTCACATCAAGACAGACTTCAGGAAGTAAATCTGTTCTGACATTACTGATTCATCAATAACAGAAAAATAAATAAAACGGAGAAACTCACATGCTGCTGCAGGATGGAGATGAAAAACGACAGAAACGCTGAAGAACCGGGCTGTGAATGAAATTCTGATAGTGAAAACATTCCTAATACTGTTACTGCATAGCTCAGTGAAAAGCACTACCTCATAAATTAAATAAATACGCAGCAGAAAGACGTGACGGCATCATTATTTGCTCTAGCCCTTTTCACAGTTAGCTCAAAATAAAACAGGCTGGTTGTCAGCTCAGCTACGTGGCCTGAAGGATGAAATGTGCAGCTTTAATCTAAGACAGCGGCGGGATTAAATCTGCCAGAAAACAAACTGGAGATTAAATGATCTGAAATGAAAACAGTCTGTTTTGTTGAAACGAAGGCTGGTAATCATTTAGCCGAGGTAAATTACCAATGGACCTCAAACAAGAACATCTTAGAATAACAGCTGAAATATCTGGCAAAGAAATTTAAAAATCCTCCAACTACAAACATTTTTTCTTCTTCGTCTATTTTGGAACAAAAACCAACATGTTTGACCAAATGAGTGAGCAGCTGTGTCCAAAATGCTAAGAAGGAAACGAGAATGGAGGAAGATCAGTTAAATTAAGGTAGACAGCTAATATGAAGCTAGCTAGTTTTAGCTAGTTAATGCTAAAGCTAAGTGAGCTAACCGTAATCGTAGTTGGTTTCCTGTAAATAACAGTTTAAATTTCATTAAAATAAATAATTCTACACCTAAAGTGGATCAGAGAAACAACAGTTTGATATTTTTGAATGTTTATACAATTAAACTGTTAAACATTTTATATTTATTTATCAACATGTTTTAGGGAAAAAAAAACTAATTGGATAAATGAAATTTTCAGGTCGAATCAAGTGAAAGCCAGCAGCTAACATAGCAGGTTAAGCTAATGCTAATGTTAGCATTATATGATGCTAATGTTAGCATCAGATGCTAACATTGTCCATAACTGTAAATGAGATTCAATTAGGTAAAAAGATGTATTGTTTTGCTATTTCACGTAATTACATAAGAAGTAGAATAGTTATTAATGACAAAGTATTAATCAGTACGAATGTTTCTGTTCTTTTCCTGTGATAAAATACTGTGATTTAACTACACTAATTTTACCAAATGTTATTGTAAATATTGAAAACACAACTTTAAATTTTGAGGAAAGATTATGGCAAAATAAAATTTGTTGGCCAAATGAAGATATCTGTGGCTAAGCTAAACTAGAGCTGTGTCTATTTGGTGTAAATATGTTATATTTATTTTTAAGTCATCCTACATCAGTATACTAATAAATATGTTAGTTAGTGTTTGTATACCAAATGAAGTGAATGCTAACTGTTAGCTGTAGCTAACTACATCTCGGTTAGCTGTAGTTAGCATTAGCTAAAGGTAGGTTTATCTGCTGATGTTTGGTCATTTATAATTTATACATTGAATGAAAATATTATTTTCATTCTTTCACACAGTTACATAACAAAGCAGTTAAAACAGTTTATGGTGGAAACACATTTTAAAAATACTAACTTTACTCTTTTTTTGCAATTTTGTGAATCAATCATATTCTATTTTCAAATTTATTGTATATTTTTAAGTGGTTATTAAACTAAAAACTAACCTAGACAATTTAAAGCTAGCTGCTAAGATAGCTGTAGCGACATCATGAGCTAAAGCTAACGTTAGCACTTTGGATCCCTCTGTTTGTTTCAAATAACTGAAGATATGGAGGTTAAACTTACCTGAAGTTATTTTTTCAGTTAGTTTATTTATTTACATAAGAAGTAAAATTCTAGTCAAATCAAACTAAATCTAGCTATCAAGTTAGCGCAACCTGATTTTACCACCGATTTTGTGCCGTTATCTAGAACTTAAATTTAATATAATATTATAAATACTGGTGTCAGTTTGAATATCTTAAGTGTTGCACATTTTGGTTTTCAATATTTAGTTTTGCATATTTTAATAAAGCAAATGCAAAACAAATACAGCAAAAAAAGACCAGCTGATGTTTTTGGCAGAGAGCAGATTATAAAACTTGTTACTATGGAAACGTTTTAACACAACACACAAATATCTGGTTTTAAAAAGAAAAACCGTTTTAACAAGATTTTAAAAACTTGTCATGAGGTTTATGTCTAATTAACACCACAATATTCCCTGTTAAATAAGGAAAGGTTGTAAATATAAAACAGCAAAACTTTATCGATAAAACAGAAGTTAGAACGAGATTTTCTTATTTTAACTGGAAATTTTCTAGTTTTGCAACGACAACTTTTCTCATTTTAATACTTTTATCTCTTTATGACAATGTTTTCATTTTTCTTATTAAAATTAGAAAGTTTATCCTAATAAGTTATAAAACTTCTCTTGAAATTAGAAACTCTCATTTTAAGATGAGTTTAATCTTATTTTAACATGTTTTGTATCTCATAATATTTTCCCTTTTCTAACCAGGTTTTCTTGTTTTAATGAATTTTACATCTATTTATAAAAAGGTTTTCCTGATTTACATTAAATAAAGTTTCTTGTTTTAACCAGAAAGTCGTTTTAACGATATTTTGCTCCTGAATTTATTTCCAAACTCTTTCATTTAAAGGCTTCTGTAGGTTTCAACACATGATGGATATTGAAGTAGCAGCAGTAAGACATGGCCGTCTAACACCATGACAATGTGAGATGATAATCTCTACTGATTACTGCCGTTACAGATTTTAGCCCCAGATTAAAACGTTTTTATTTCCATCAACAATCAGGTGGAAAATAAACGTCCAAATGTTCTTGAATGAGGTCCAGATTTGTTGAAATGCCCCCAAAAAGCCCTGATCTCGTGCCAAACCGGGTCAGTTTCTCTCCTCCAGAGCAGGAAACTATTTACACTCAGAGAACCGATAAAGTGCAGGAATGTAAACAAAACCAAACGGGCAGCAGCAGCGCCGGATCTAAGCCGCGGTTTCCTCTCGGTGTGGCGGGGAGCAGAGAGACGCGGCGGGGATGAACGTTTACGGCTCGGTGGGAAACTGGGGCTGGAAACTGGAACGCACTGGAAGCCGAACCGGAACCAGACAAGTCCGAAACCACCGAGTTCAGCTACGCTACGGAGGATAGTGTCATGTTGGATATCTGATTCGTGTTGTTGGGGTTTAAAGTATTTCAGCTAAGCTATGGATCAAAGGTGTTCAGGAGGAACCGGAGCCGGAACCAGAACCAGAACCGGGTTCTGCTGCTTCCAGTGTGTTTCCGGTCGCTCCCTAAGCGTAAATGAATGAAACTTTTTGTTTTCTGACATCATTTCCTCCTTTAATTTTCTGAGAAAGGGTAACTGTGAAAACGCCGAGCCGCCCGGCGCCTCACCTGTCGGTCGGCGCCGGTCGCCGGGTTGTCCCACCCGGAAACGCCTGGTTCCGGCGCAGCGGCGCCAGGCGGACAGTCCGTCGGTACAAAACGTGAAGCGGACCTCAGCTGCAGCGCCGGACGTGCTCCAGCACGTACTCTGGGAAGTGCAGGCTGCACACCTGCAGGCCGTCCAGTTTGCAAGGCATCCTGGGATACTCATCCTCCTTCCACTTGTTCTCGTCGGGGTCAAAGGTGAGGATGGAGTCACTGTAGTGGCCGTTGTAGCACAGGCCGCCCAGCACCATGATCTGCCGGTCCAGCACCGCCACGCCGTGGCCGCTGCGGCCGATGGGCATGGAGGCCAGGATGGTCCACTCGTCCGTTTCCGGGTCGTACACCTCGGTGGACGGGCAGCCCTGCGACTCGAACGAGGCCCGCAGGATCACGCACACGCCGCCGAACACGTACAGCTTCCCGTTGTGGGAGATCATCTTGTGGAAGCAGCGAGCGTAGTTCATTTTGGATTTGTTCTCCCAGCAGCTGGCGTGGGTCCCGGGCAGCAGCGGGCCGCGGGCCGAGCGCGTCCTGTGGGAGTCCGACCCGCCGCCGCCGCCGGCCTCCCGGCCCGGGTCGAACACGCACACCTGTTTGGAGGTGGAGGAGGACGTGATGCCGCCGGTGATGTAGAGCTTCCCGTTCAGGACGGTTCCCTCGTGGCCGTACTTGTTGACGGGATACGGATCCACGAACTCCCAGCGGTCCTCCGTGATGTCATAGCGCTCCGTGGAGTAGAAGGTCTCGTCTCGGGTTCGGCCCGCCACGGCGTAGATGAACTTCCCGATGACTCCCACCGCGAACTCCGACCTGCAGACAACCAGTCAGTCAGTAACTTACCAGAACCAAAGCAGCTAGTGGTTCTGTTAGCTGATTATTCTGATGATCAATCGGCTATTTAATCGATTATCTGATTATTCTGACCACATCTTTAAAGACAAATGCAGAAAGTATATTTGTGTAGTTTTGGCTTCATACTGCTCTGAGTGTGGCCTTTTTGGGAATCTTTATGCTCCAGGTAACGATTAATCGATTTCTAAATTAGTTGATTATTCCAACAAGCTGATTAATTCCTATTAATCCGATTAATCATTACAGAACTAATTATATTGACAAATAAAGTTCCTCAGATTGGATGGAGAACCTCTGAGCATCACTTTCAAGCTAAAGGCGAATTGTTTGCTTTCAGAGCAAAGGTCAAAGTTCATAAAAGGACCTCTGACCTGGGAACAGACATGTCCGCCATGCGCAGCCACGAGTTCTGCCGCGGGTCGTAGCGATAAACCTTGGAGGAGGCGTGAAACTCGCCGTCAGGCCCCAGCTCCTCTCCGCCCAGCAGGAAGGCAAAGTTGTTGACGATGGCCAAGCAGTCGGGTCGGAGCGGCACCTGAGGGCCCTCCAGCTCCCACCACACCTGAGACACAGCGCCGGCACGGTTAGCGGACACTGCTGGGTCCGACAAGGTCTTTAAATACACACCAACATGAACCCAACACTGAACAAACTGATAAAAGGAAGAAATTAATACATTCAGTGAGCAAAAATCTGTTATGCAAAACTGAATTTATGGAAAATAAGATTTTTATGGCAGCGACGTTAACAGGTCATCAGTTTTGGGTTCAAACTTAATGAAACTGTATTAATTACAGTGAATGCACCATAATAAGGCATGTTTCTGTATGCAAGGCCTAGTTTACTGTAAAACACGAACGAAGGATAAAACAACAGATTCAATGAACATTAGAACCAAAACAAATGATCAGAGGATGAACAGAAAATCAACTTCTGAACAAAGAACGAATGACAGAACAATGAGAAGAGCAAACAATCGAGCGACGGTGGAGCAAACAGTCTAACAATAAACATGGAATAATCAATCAACAGATACTCTGGTGAAAGCCGCTGACCAATCAGACGGCGGTGTGTCACCTTTGGCCGCTGCAGCAGGAGGATCTTGCTGTTCACCATGCTGTGGCCGATCATCCCCCTGAACACGGCGGTCTGCGGCCGGACGGAGCGAATGCGGTTGGAGCGCGTCTCCAACAGCGGCTGCTGGTTGACGTCGTGGAAATATCCCAGCGCCTGGTCCACTTCCTGCCTCAGCTGTCTGGAGTAGCGGTAGAACTCCGACGTTTTCACCTGAGGAGACAGAAACCTGAGCGTGGACGCCTCCGGGGAGCCCCGGCTGCACGGCGGCGCAGCGCTCACCTTCTCAAAGATGTCCGCCGGCGTCATGAGACAGAAGCGGATGGACTGCACGATGGTGTCGGTGTGCCTCCAGCGCCGCCGGTCGTGTCTCAGCCACGCCTGGACGGCTTCGTAGAGCTCGATCTCCGGGTATCGGCTCAGAGCGTCGCTGTTCAGGTAGGCCTGTGCCGAAAACCAGGAGAAAAACATCAGAGAAAGAAAAACGATTCCCAGACTCTTCCAGACACGAACCCCAAACAGCGTCGAGCTCCAGAACCCGTCTGCAAACCCAGACAGACAAAATATAAAATATACAAAGAAACATCAACGATTACAATGTTATTTATTCACCATTTCATGTTTATTACACTCATTTAGCATAAATGCTGCCTCATAGCTTCTGATTTTAGATTTTATTATCAGAAAATATATCAGGACTTTATTACCAGATGGTTCAGTTTTTCATCAAAGTCCAAACTTTGGATTATGAGAAAATATGTAAGATTTTATATTAGATTATATTTTATACCGTAGTTTCTAGAGCTGTGCGTTTAAATGTCGAATGTTTTTAGCCATATGTTTGTGTCAAAGACCATCACTGCTAGTTGTTATCTATTGTTGTATGTTTATTATTATTAATTTACTCATATTAAATTTGTCACCTTATTAATCACACCAGGTTTTATTTTATGTCCACCGTCCTCACCAGGTGTTTTTGCAGAGTTCGGTTCTTTTACTCTTTTTTTTCTATTTGTTGCTTCAGGAGGAAAACAGCTGATAAGTCAGAAAATTACATTTAAATAAATGACTTTAATTTAGATTTTATTTATAAAAGGATTAAATAACAGAAAAATTTAAGATTAAAACAATTTTTGGGATTAAGTTTTTTATTATTTTTGCATTTTTTTCTCATCTAATTTTCTGCCGCCCCACAGCGCCCCCTGGCGGCGCTGCAATACATAATCCTAGGAATCAAATTGATTAAAAAATTTATTCAAGTAACAACATTTTGAATAATTTTTTTGAAGTCAGGCAGCTAAACTAATGCTGGTCATTAAAATAACAGAACTTAACGCATCATAATCGTATTTCTGATGGAGTTTGATACTAAATGGAACCTTTTATTGTTTTCACTCCTTTTTCCTCGTCAGTCTTTGAACAGAAATAATAGAAAAATTTGTTTCTGATTCAAATTGTCACCCTGCAAATCCATCTGTATACTCTGTGATGCCGACAGATTTATTACGTCTTATAAGCTAAAACAGATTTTAAATGATAATCGCCTCAAATCAATAATTCAGATGACGAACGCGGGTCGGCGAGAACATCTAAGATCTTCTGTCGGACCTGGAGTCGCTCCAGACTGAGGTAGGACAGGAAGTCGGCTCGGCTCATCAGAGGGACGAAGTTGTCGAGCAGGAAGTTGTCGAGTTGCTCCTGGACGCCCTCCACGCCGACGCTGAAGTCCTCCAGGAGGCGCATGACCTCGGCGCAGTTCTCCAGGCAGATCTTAGCCAGCAGGAAGGAGCAGCAGAACTCCACCGCCTCCGTCAGCTGGACGTACATCGCCGCCTGCAGCGACACAAACACATTTCATGAAGGTCGGAGTTAAAGTTTCCGCTTCTCAGGAGTCACCGGAGAACCACGGATACCTGCAGGATCTCCTGCACGGTGGGCATGCTGAGCTCCAGGGAGCCGTAGTACATGAAGCGCAGGATGTGGCCGAAGCCGGCGGCCGTCAGCCCCTTCATGTGGATCTTATCCTGGTCCCGCTCCCGCATGTCGGCCGTGAACATAACCCGGAAGTAGTCGCTCTGTGTGGCCAGCAGCGCCTTGTGGGCCTGTGGGCGGAGTCAGCACACCTTAGTTACCATTCTAGCAACACCGGATCTACGGCTACAGCTGGCAAGACCTGATTATTCTGACGATTAATCAATTATTCAATGGTTGATAGATTATTCTATAATCTATAACAATCAGTTTCTTTGACCATGAATCAACTATTCTGATAATTAATCGACTATTTTGTATTACGAAGATTAATCGTCTGACCATTAATCAATTGTTCTGTCAATTATTATGATGATTAATCAACTTTTCTGACGATTAAATGACTGATTAATCAATGCTTCTGATGATTGATTATTCTGACAACATGTTTACAGACATTCTGGGTTTTTTCTTAAACTTAAATGCAAAATTTACATATTTCTGTACAGTTTAGTGTTAATTACTGCTCTGACTGTGTTGTTCTTTCAGCAAATTGAATGTTTTTAGTCTATCCTCTAGTTAACTTTTATTATTGATTATAACTGATTATTTCAGTTATCAATTAGTCACTATTCCAGATGTCATAATTAACATTTGATTTCAAGAACGAATCTGGTTTTAGAATAAAATTAACTTCTCTTTTCAGTAATGCCTCAATCTGCACCCGTCTGTTTGTTTATGGTAATTAATGCTAACTGGGCTAATTGCTGCTTAAAATATCAACTTCCTGATCATTTATCTCAACACTTTACTGCTTTACAGCCAACTCTCTATACACACAGTGTGACATCACCCCTGTTGCTAATATCAACAATAAATGACCAGGAAGTTCAGAAAGTGAGGAAAATGTTGTTAAATGTAGCAGGTGCAGAAAAATCTCTGATATTTATCTGAACTGATCCAGTTGGTTGGATTGATGAACATTTTCCCCCAACGGTGGATGAATCGGAGCGCTACCTGGAAGTGGTGCTCCTCTATCAGCAGCGTGACGTCCAGCAGCAGACGCTCCTCGTACAGCGCACGGAAACCCGACGACACGCTCCCATCATGCACCTGGGACAGGTACACCTCCACATCTCCCCCCGACATAACACACCTGAGGCACGAGGAGAACGGAGGAACAGAGGAGTCAGAAAACAGACAAACATGGACTCAGGCTAGTTAGCGTGAGCGCTGCATCAGGCAGAGACGGGAAAACGCAGCGAAAGGAAGAGCTTCAGCAAACAAACACACACACACACACACACACTCACCTCTGATTGGCCACGGGCATGTCAGAGGGGGCTGTCCGAGCCAATCAGAGGACAGTGCCCCTTGTGTCCAGTAGATGCTAACAAACTCCCTTTAGTGAGCGCCAATCACCTGAACGACAGAGCCAGAACAGGTTAAAGGTCACCGGGTCACAACGCGGCTGAACACGTCAAGTTTAACGTCAAGAAATAGAAATAGAAAGAAGGTGAAACTGGGCTCACAGTAGAAAGTGTCACCATAAAACTGGACCAGTTTGTTTCATCCATAAATGTTTATCGTTTCATTAATAATTGAGATAAAAACTGATTCCTGGGCGTCAGCTGCTGGTAAAAGAGCGACGCACGACGCAACAAGCTGAGCTCAGACATGTCAACAACGAGTCGGTTAATAAAGGTTTAATTCAAACTATGCTGACGTGTTTGTGTCGGCCATGTTGGTCATGTCAGGACCTCAGGCTACCAGAAGCCTGTGGAAGAGAAGCAACCGGCCTGCAAAACATGCTGCAGAATTAGGAACTGAGCTCAGCAGGTGGCGCCGAGGAGTCAACAGGAAACCCGGACAGAGTCATAGAAACTAAACTTCATCTTCTCAAACTTTTAAGTTTATCTTTACATTTTGGCAGAATAAACATGTTAAAATAAGCCAAACCTTCTATCTACACAATAGAATATCAGTTTAATTTGGTTTCCATGAGAACAGAAATCACAAATATTAACTTCAAGAGCTTTAAAAAAAATTAATTATTACTTTGGAAACAGTTTTTTCTTCACATCCCAAAACAAAGAAAATGACAGAAAATCAGACAGGAGTGGTAGAAAGGATGAGCTGTTTGGAGGGAGTAAAGGTGTGTGTGTGTGTGTGTAAGATGGTCGTACCTTTTGGAGCCCGGCCGAACGATCGCAGGCTGTGACAGCTGAGCGCTAAGAGGCCGCTCGCATTTCCTGTGTTTATGTTTCCCCGGTTCTGACAGAAAGGGACAGAAACAGGAAGTCAGGATGCATTTACAAACAACTCATATCTGTGTTGATCGATTTTTTCTAATAAAAAATGTTTAACTTTGCGTCCGTTATGAGAAGATATAAGGACAAACCAACTGTGGCCTGTAAATCTCTGCATTCTTTGTTCATATTCCCAATAGAAAGTATTCCTGGTTCAGAGTTTCAGAAACTGACATACTGCTGCTAAAAAGAAAGAAAATCTGTTTTCCTCTTTCGTGTAGAAAATGTTCCTGTCTGAGAACTCATGTCTTTAGCTAAATGGAGCTTCCTTTGTGTACTCTTCAGTTTCCTGTAGAAAGTACTCCTGACTCAATCATGTTGTATTCCACTGTGTTTTTGTCTTTTTTAATGGAGAAATTGCTATCATTTATTAGCTTTGTCTACTTTGGGCTGGTTTCTGAAAGTTTTCTTTCCTTTAGAAAATAATCGTGGATGTTTGGGACCAGACTAACACCTGACCCACAGTGGCTCCTGGACCAGACTAACATCTGACCCACAGTGGCTCCTGGATGTTTGGGACCAGACTAACACCTGACCCACAGTGGCTCCTGGACCAGACTAACACCTGACCCCTGGCTCCTGGATGTTTGAGTTACCCTACTACAGGATGGCGGACCGGAGCTACCGGCTCAGGGTTACAGATCCCCGGGTGTTTTCATTCCTCCAGCGAGCTGCAGCTCTGCTTCATGCCGAAACCAGAGCTCCAAAACAAAGGCTCCACACAGCGGGTCACCTCGACTCTCACAGCCGCCGACAGAAGCTCGTTTTTAGCATTTTGTACTGGAAGAAGACGGTTTAAAGCGCCCGTCTGATGCTCAGTCTGGATCGCGGGGGACGGGCTTTAGCTTAGCGGCTAAGATCCAGCCGTCTCACCTCGGCGGTGCGAATCCCCACAACCCCTCTTCGACCAGGCAGCTCTGGCTCCGTCGGACATGAAGTTGGGGGTTCAGCTCCGGGATCAGGAGAGAGGCGGGCAGCGGTGGACTGCCGGATCCCGACGGTAATCCATCTGCCGGACGAAAGGACCCCCGACACGGCTCTGAATTAGATGGCTCCAGAATCACAGCAGCCCACAGGATTTACGGACTCCATCTTCTGCACCGGCGTCATTTCCCTTCTGGGCGGAACTGAAGGGCGGCGAGCGGAGCGTCGGAGATCGTGTGTGTAAGAAGATGTATCACTACAAATGGAGAGGAAAAACTATTTCCCGACCTACTCGATAAGTTAGAATAGCATAAAAATGTGTATTTATTTCAGTAACTGAAACACTTTATGTAGATTAACTATGTTTTCAAGAGTTGGTTTCTGTTTTTTTAGGATATTTTTGCTTACAGTCAATGAAAACATGACATTTAAGATCAGAATATTACATCAGATCAATAACAAACAAAATATTTAATTTAAGACAGAAATGTTGACATAATGAAGAATGTATTTAATATCTACCTAAAGGTTGTTATTTTAACCTGACAAAGGAACATAATTGACAGACAGACAGACAGATAAATAAAAAACCCTCGTATTAATTTTAAAGACATGCTGCCTCTGTTGAAAAACTACACTTAAATAAAGAGACTTAACATTATCTCATAAGCAGACTCCAACTTTCTTCCAGTTGTTGTGTGAGACCCTACATTATATGTACTTGAATGTACTTTTTAACTACATGTGGTGAAATATTTTTTTAGCATCGACATAAAAAACTACAAAATGGCCTTTCGGGAACTACAAATCGTAAAATGACGTCACTTTCTACTGACGGACCCCAAACATGAGGAGCATGATATTTATTTTTACTACACTTATATTTAAAGAATGTAGGCTAGCAGAAAAATGTTTTAAGTTCCATAAAAAGCGGGTATTAATGAGGAATAAGCGGTAGAAACCCGGGTTGAGCTGTTATCGCGGTGGTGATAAATTGCATCAGCCGTTCAGAAAGGACCCCGTCTCTCTAACGTGGAAAAGTTTGTCTTTAAAGCAGCGAAATCTTTAGGATTTTTTTCCCTATCGGTTTAGTTTAACCGGTTCGTATTCTTTTGAAATTTACAGGGGTAAAAGTGAATCTATAGATGAATAAAAAAATAATTAAGTGATTATCTTTTTCCGTTGATCAGGCGGACCCGCCGCCTCTTCCGTTCCCTTTTCATCCAAGATGGCGGGGGATGAGTCTGGTACAACGTTCGGTCAGCCTCACCTGGCCAGACAGGACCTCAGCACGTTGGTGAGTCTCCTTTTAACCGCATCCACAGCTTCACGGTCCCCTGGCTGTTACTCCGGGACGGTTATTTGGCTGAAATAAGGTCGGGGAAAACGCGGAAATGGTTGGGGTGAACGGTGGCCGGAGCAACGCCGCTTCCACCCGGCACATGACGGCAGGCCCAGCGGGGAAACGGAGCTCCCCTCCGCCGCTCCTCTGCCAACCGAAATATTTACTTTCAGAGTCTCCGAACCTCCGTTTTTAGTGTCGGTTGTGTTTGACATGTCTGGTTTCCACTGAGGATCATCTTCCTCCTCTCTATGAGTCTTAGTCAAAGTCTGATCAAAGCATACGCGATATATGCGTCTGGTTCCTTGGTGGGCGAAAAATAACAGGGAGAAAAGGAGGAAGTTTAAACCATCTCTTCCATCCATCCCTGATTCCAACATCTCTCTGTCAGCCAGACGGATATTTAAAGAGGAGCAGCAGAAGCAAAGGAGGTGATTAACAAAGCTAACAACTGATAGCATCATCCTGGGACATGTCACTGTGGAGTATTGTCTCTGCTGCTCGGATGTTGCCTGGGAACTCAGTTGGTTTAAAATGCTGGTGTGCGTTTTAATAGTTTAGTTTCTTTAGATCAAACCAGTCCTGACATTTTTCCCAGAGATCTGATGAGAGCCGCTGTTTCCTGCTAATCCCTCTCTGTGTCTCACTGTGTCCTCTGTCTCTCTGTCTGTCCCTCTGCAGGACGTGTCCACCTTAACGCCTCTGTCTCCAGAAATCATCAGCAGACAGGCCACCATTAACATCGGTACTGGAGTCATTCTGTTTCCCCATCGTTATGCTCTGTGATTAATGCATTAAAATCTGTTTTTTCTCTGATTCCTGAAGGCACCATCGGCCATGTGGCCCATGGGAAGTCCACAGTAGTGAAGGCCATCTCCGGCGTTCACACCGTCAGGTTCAAGAACGAGTTGGAGAGGAACATCACCATTAAGCTTGGATATGCTAACGCTAAGGTTTCTTCCTTTTAATTACGATGATTCATTAATAAATCCAGGTTAGTCTAGAACATGTAGACATCCTGATTCTCCATCCATCCGCCATCTTTGTCAGTGAAGTTTCAGGAACCAGTTTTCCTGCTGTGTGTGGCTGCCGTCTCTCTCTTTACGCTACTTCTTTACCGCTGCAGGTCTACAAGCTGGACGACCCCAGCTGCCCCAGGCCCGAGTGCTACAGGTCGTGTGGCAGCAGCACCCCTGATGAGTTTCCCACAGACATCCCCGGCACCAAGGGCAACTTCAAACTGGTCCGGTAAGGCCGTTCCCAGCAGCTTCAGAGCTCTAAAAATAGATTTATATTTAAATAGGTGCCACTTATTTCATCATCGTTATTTGTTTGTTTTTGGAATCTAAAGTAATCATTGGATTCAGATTTGCTTAACTGAAATACATTCCCAGAATTATTGTTTCTACAATTTTACTTATTGCTTCATCATTCATTTCCATTCCTGAAAAATCAATGGCTCAAAATACTTTGACTGAATTTTGAAGCCCTGTTGGTTCAACAGCAGCATCAATAACATAATCAGTAACATTGAGATTAAAATAGAATAGAATATACTTTATTGATTCCCAAGGGGAAATTGGTTATTTGTTGAAAGCTACTCCATCTTAGGTAATAAATACAAAGTTTGTAAAAAAAAAAAAAAAATAGGTATATATAAATATATATATATATATATATATATATATATATATATATATATATATATATATATCACTAAGAGTGATAAATTCAAAATGACTAGATATAAACAAATAAATAACAAGCAATCACATGCAATATATTAATCAATAAATAACCTATAAATGAGTGCAGGAAAAATTGACTCAATTAGCACAGACTTGGGCAACAGGCAGAAATGACTTTCTGACATTCTCTCCCTCATTATTATGATAGAGA